AGCTGTCCTTCAAAAAGAGCAGTTTCTGTCAGAGCTCTCTCAGCCCCACCTACCTCACAGGCTGTCTGTTGTGGGGAGGGGAAGGGAAAGGCGTTTGTAAGCCGCTCTGAGACTCCTTCGGGTAGTGAAGGGCGGGGGATAAATCCAATCTCTTCTTCTTCTTTTACCTCACAGGGTGTCTGTTGTGGGGAGGGGAAGGGAAAGGAGTTTGTAAGCCGCTCTGAGACTCATTTGGGTAGTGAAGGGCGGGGTATAAATCCAATCTCTTCTCCTAAGTACTATATCAAGGGTAGTCTTTGGACAATATTTAGTCAATGAACCGTTTTCTACAGGTTGGAGCCTACACATCCCTTTTGCTTTTGTTCCAGTGGATGAACATAACAGCCCTACTGGCTCAGACCAGTGGTCCCTCTCACACAGTGGCGAACCAGTTCCTCTGGAAGTCCAGCAACAGAGCACAGAAGCTGAGGCCTTCCCCCTGGTGGTTGCCTCCTAGCATTCAGAAGTTAACTGCCTCTGAATGTAATGGTTTCTATTAGTTAACATGGCTGGTAGCCAGAGGTCATTTCGGTTGGGATCGCGGGGGATCGCAGTTCCCCCGGGTGAGGTACGGGGGGCGGGGCACATGACGAAGCCCCGCCCCCTGCTTCCGGCCGCCCCGCTTCCGGCCCTCATTCAGCCAGGAGGAGGCAGGAGAAGAGGGAGGGTAAGTTGCTTCCTCCCCACCTCTCCCCACCCCTGCCTGCCTGGGGCCAGGGAGGGCCTTGGCGGGGCTTCCTTGCACTCCCGCTGGCCTTGCAGGTCCACCGCCGGGCCCCTGATGTCAGGGTGTGTGGCATATGCTAATGAGTTATGCTAATGAGTTCCCCTAGCTCTTTTTCTACGAAATGACCCCTGCTGGTAGCAACTGAATAGACTTGAAACCACTGAAGGCTTTCAGGACCCTTAGCAGAAGTGAGTTGTAGACTCCAACACTATGCATTTGTGCTGGATGAGTTTTCTTATCCGCCACCATGGATTCCTCAAAAGCATAAGTGTG